CTCCCTGCCCTCCCAGATGGAGCACGCCATGGAGACCCTCATGTTCACCTTCCACAAGTACGCGGGGGACAAGAACCACCTGGGCAAGGAGGACCTGCGGGCGCTGATGGAGAAGGAGTTCCCCGGGTTCCTGGAGGTGGGGCGGGAGCGGGACCCGGGGGGGGGACACGGGCCCTATAGCGCCCCGGGTCAGGCCCTATAGTTCCCCGGGATCCATCCCTATAGCTGCCCCGGGTCAGACCCTATAGCATCCCCAGGGTCAGACCCTATAGCACTTCAAGGGATCAGACCCTATAGCATCCCCAGGGTCAGACCCTATAGCACTCCAAGGGATCAGACCCTATAGCTCCCTCGGAGCAGACCCCATAGCACTCCAAGGGATCAGACCCTATAGCACCCAGGGTCAGGCCCTATACTTCCCCGGGATCAATCCCTATAGCTGCCCCGGATCAGACCCTATAGCACCCAGGGTCAATCCCTATAACTCCCCGGGATCAGACCCTATAGCGCCCCCAGGGTCAGACCCTATAGCACTTCAAGGGATCAGACCCTATAGCATCCCCAGGGTCAGACCCCATAGCACTTCAAGGGATCAGACCCTATAGCGCCCCCAGGGTCAGACCCTACAGCACCCAGGATCAATCCCTATAGAACCCCCAGGGTCAGGCCCTATAGCTCCCCCGAAGCAGATCCTACAGGTTCCCCAGAGCAGACCCTATAGCACTCCCCGGGATCAGACCCTATAGCGCCCTGGGTTCAGGCCCTATAGCACCCAGAATCAATCCCTATAGCTCCCCCAGAGCGGACCCTATAGCACCCCCAGGGATCAGACCCTATAGCACCCCCGGAGCAAACCCCATGCTCCCCCAGAGTCAGACCCTATAGCACCCCGGGATCAATCCCTATAGCACCCCGGGATCGATCCCTATAGCTCCCCCAGGACAGCCCCTATATCAGACCGCCAGGACGGGACCCCTCACCCGTGCCCGGGGGTCCCCGAGGTGGGGGGGGGGGC